GCCATCCTTACCTCATCTGGCCTACATGTGACTCCAGATCCACAACAATTTGGTTGACTCTTAAATGCCGTCTGGGCAATTAAGGATGTGCAATAAATGCTGCCTGGTCAGTGATACCCTCATCCTGTGAATGAAAATAGAAAAAAAATACTGAATGCAGTATACCCATGTAAGGAACTTGACAAGAAAACAGTGGTGATGTTTTCACGTCAAATTGGTGTCATTTGTGATTGAGTTTGAGCAAAAGGTGGAATTTACGTTGTGAAAAGGCCTCGTGTCACTTAGGAATTCGGTTGGGGAGATTTTGTTTTAGTATCCATTTAGACAGAAAGTTGACTGCTTTTCAGTTTGCTACCTGGCTTTATTATTCAAAACAGTTTATGTTAAATGCACAAAGTACCATGGCTGAAAACTTATACGCTAGTTCACTTTAGGACCTAATTAGTAGAGCCAGCATTACTGTCCAATTCGTGAAGTTATGAAATTTCTATCTTGTTCAGGCTAAGGTAGCTTAATTTTTTTTTTATAACTCTGCTTTATAGCAAATAATCAAACTGCTGATGGTATTTGCAGAATCGAGCCTGCTTTTCTGTCCCCCCACAACATGCTGGCAGTTAGGCTACATGATCAAAATGCAAACAGCTAATTTCAGTGACTAATTATATTCTGTAGTATATGCACCATATGTTTCTCAAGACTGGAGGTGCTGTTGTGGTCCATTTCATATTGCAGTGCTCCCCAGTGTAATGATGCCTGTTCTATGATCACTACTAGTACGATCGTGAGACAGCTGGAACATTGCCACAGCCATTCAATCCAGACCCTCCAATCTCTTTTGCTGTGGAAAATGTGCATGGAGACCTCCGTAAAGATTTTTTTCATGTGTATTTGTTCCAGATTCACTAGCGTGCCATGCAGCACAGAGATGCTATAAAATGTCATTCAATATTCTGCAACACCCTTCTTGGCAGAACAAGATCTAATTAGGATAACTTTACAAGACTCTCTCTCGAATATGAAATACTGCTCGCTTGTAGCATAGTTTGGACAGTCCTGCATAACAATGAACTGTCCCTTTAGCACTAGTGGACTGTCCCATAAACAATATCCTGTAACACTATGGGATGTCCCTGCAGGCTTTGACCATGTCCAGCCCTTAACAGAAGGCACTTCTGAGTGAGAATTAATAGAGATATGAGTGGAGCCTTGAGGTGTGTTGTCCTACAGTGTCATCAAAGGAAAATGATGCATGGAGTGACAAATGTTTGTTTGCAGATTTTTCAATGGTAGAGTGAAAATATTCCAAGAATTGAGGTATTTTTGTGTAGTTTCAGTCAGACCATTTTCAGTTGGTCATTTATCTAGCTGATTTAGAATGTCCATCTGTTTAAGTTAACCATAATTCCTAGGTCCCATCACATTACAAATTCTTGGCTTGTACTGTTCTGATTTTGTTTAATTCTGGCACAGTTGTTTCATTATGTGGTAATGAAACTCAAAAACATGCAATATGATCCCCTATCTGAAAACTCTTCACTCTTAAGGTTTACGTTTTGACCTGTGATCCATGTAAACTCAAATATGATTTGCCTTCAAACAATCTGGACTAGTCTTAAGGTACAGTGGAAATTATCTCCCTGTCTTACTCAGATTTTGGGTGTACAATAGACAGTCCCAGGGTTAATGGTGTACCTGTATCTCCAAAGCTAAACTAGCTTTTTGAACATTTTTTAAAAATTTTGCAGAATCTAAGGATACATCTTCCATCCATGCTCATCAGTAAGAGCACTATCTACAAGAGCACTTGCTGAGAAATGGCACATGCTACCATAGTTTTGTCCTTTTTTTTATCAGCCAAAACTAATGGGCTGTCTATATGCAGTTCCTTGATGCTTGAAACAAAGAGCAATTCGGTTGATGAGGAATAAGCTGGCAGGGCTTGGTAAAGAACAAGATGCAAGCAGTGTTTAACATTGACTTGGAGAACGCAAAGCTTTATTGGATTGGTAGACCAGGTATCAGTGGTGGAGCTGGGTGTTGACTATATAAGAGAGGGAGGCCGAGTGGTATTATTGCTGGCCTGTTAATCCAGAGAGCCAGAGTTCGAATCCCACCATGGCAGATGCTGGTATTTGAATTCAATAAATATCTGGAATTAATGATGACTGTGAATCCAATGTCGATTGTTGGAAAAACCCAGCTGGTTCACTGATGTCCTTTAGGAAAGGAAACTGCCATCCTTACCTGGTCTGGCCTACGTGTGACTTCAGACCCACAGCAATGTGGTTGACTCTTAACTGCCCTCTGGGCAATTAGGGATGGACAATAAATGCTGCCTAGCCAGTGATGCCCTCAGCCCATGAATGAATAAAAACTTTAAGTAGAATGTGACCAAGGTAACGTCAGACCTGCATGTGCTAAATTGTAGAAAGTTCTGGTTTATTGACTAATGTAGCTGAATATTAATCTTGCATTGCTTGTGATATTGTGGAACAACTTGGAACTAGGTTTGAAAGGAACACTGAGCATCCTGGTCGGTCAAACCACATATTGGGGTGGGCTTGCAAATTAGATGAGCTTAATTAGCTACGACAAGGCACATAAATGTCTGATACTCATCGTGAGTGTCTTGGAATCTGTCCTTCTTTTGAGAGGATGAACATTTAGATGCCTGTTTTTGCTATAAATGGCAAAATTGCTGAAATTTTGTCCCCTTAAAGCTTCAGCTTAAATTTGTCTGCTGCCCACTTCTCTTCTGGGTGCCTTTACTTGTCCATCCGGATCTATCTTCCTGCCTGACATATTGAAGCGCTTACACGTGTGCTTTTCAAGATCTATAATGCACTTTGCAGAGATTTTCTCACGGCTACCACTGGAATGCAGCCTCTTCTACAGCCTGACTTAAGTCTGTACCTTTTTAAAGAGTAGACCTGTTCCATCTGGTAGCAGTAAGTTGGAATAGCCATATTTTCCTGCACTTCCTCATTGCAAAAATTGGAATAAATAATATTTAACATGAAACGGGAGCAGTTGGGATAAAGAGTGGCTCAGTTTGAGAAGCATCTGGTAAATGTAAGGAAATATCAGACAACAGTGTCCTTTTTGTAAGGAGATGGAGCATCTCTCTGTACTGCTTTCTAATTTGACTTTTACAAATAACCTAATCTTTACTTTATACTCGTTGATTTATACGTTAAACCCTTTGCTGCAGTCTGTGGTTCTCTTGATAAAACTGTCGTTATGGCACTTTGGTAAGTTAGTGAGTGAATTTTACTGCATTGCTTCTGGTTGGACGTGACCCATGAGTGCTTGATGCTGACACTGGATTGTAGTGAATCTGTTTCACTTCTCTGTAGTATTGCCAAGAGAGAAGGAATTCCCTAGTGGCAGATCAGCAATTTGATTTGATATGGCCAACATTGGTGTTTTTAAATCCAGATAAACTGGCACTCCCAAGACACCCCTGTAGAGGTGTGAATCTTTTTAAGTACTGTAAATGAGAATTCTAGCATGCATTGCTGACATATTAAAAAGCAGATTAGGTCAACTTCGCTCATGTAATCACGTTGGGTAGGGGCGAGGTACCTAAAATGTAGCAAGCACTATCAAACTCCAAATTTCTTTACTGTTTATGTTTTCACTAATGGTAGCTACAAACTACTGTGGGTGCTGGAAAACTGAACCAAAGGAGTTGGAAAACCTCATTGATTCAGCCAGCATCTGGATGAAAAGGGAATTGATATTTCAGTTCAATTGAACTGTCTATCAGAACCATTTTTGAAACTAATGATTCACATTATTTCTTGCTTTGGAGATCAATACCTGCTTATGCTGCCCCTTCCCAAAGACTTGGAACAGTTTGCCCTCTGAAACCAGAATTAATGTGTTGCTATGAAATATTTCCCATACAGTCATGCAGCTCTGTTTACTTGTGTTGGTTCTATGAACGGTTTATCCAATTAATCCTGTTCGTCTGCTTTTCCATAGCAGCCCTGGGAATTTGAAGTATTTAACCAATGTCATTATTGTTAAAAAGGGTGCTTGCAGCAAGTTCAAAGAGTACATTCTAAATTCTCATGAAATATATGTAAATGTAACAGGATATTTTTCTTTCTAAAAAATTCTCCCCATCATCACTTTGGTTCTTTTGCCAATTAGTTTAAACCTGTTACCTTTGCTTTCTGGCTGGGGGCCAGTCAGCTCAGTTGCCTGGACAGCTAGTCTGTAATGCAGAGTGACGCCAAAAGCGTGGGTTGAATTCCTAAATGTTGTTTTCTCTCTCTGGGCTATAACTCCCTATCATTTACTCCCCAGTCGTTCTCCTAGGCTGACCATTATTCATTGCTTTCTGTCCAACTGTTCTTCTCTCTCTTTTGGGTTGTATCTCCACCTAATATTTACTCTTTACCCGCTCCCATCACCCTACCTTCTGCATAAAAAAAACTTTTCCCTAGCTACCATCAGTTCTGAAGAAGGGTCACTGGACTCGAAACATTAATTCTGATTTCTCTCCACAGATGCTGCCAGACCTGCTGAGATTTTCCAACAATTTCTGTTTTTGTTTCAATCCCTGCTGAGGTTACCATGAAGGACTCTTCTTCTCAATAACCTCCCTTCACCTGAGGTGTGATCACCCTCCGGTTACACCTGCACCAGTCATCTATCTCTAATGAGACAGCATTAGCCTGGCACTTGGAACAGTTTCAGCTCGTGCACTCTCTCAAAACCATTACTTTACTGTGCCTCGATTAAATCTCCCCTTAGCCTTCAATCTCAAGTGTCATCTGAGCTGAACAGAAGGTGTGAATTGGAAGCTTAAGGAGTTGTGGTCCATCGGGCTTATGGCTGACTGAGAGATGAGCCCAGGTCACAAAGGCTGTCTATCAGGTTGGGGGTGGTTGCAATAGACTTAATGCCAGTTTGAACAGGAGGAAGATGGTACGCTCTTAGAGTGTATATGAGTGTGATACTGATTTTTGCTTTATCTTCTGCACTTACAGGTTGTTCGGTGTGACAGGAAATTGTGCAGCATGCAGCAAGCTGATTCCTGCCTTTGAGATGGTAATGAGAGCCAAGGACAATGTTTATCACCTGGACTGTTTTGCTTGTCAGCTCTGTAATCAGAGGTACAGTTTTTGATCAAAAGTCCTTTATCGTCAATGGTACACATGGAAACCCAATTAGTTAAAAGAATGTAACATCTGTTACTCGCTGTAAATTCATATCATTTTTCTGAAACCCATCTGCTTTATATTAGGTTTTTGACGATAGAAAATGTCATCCATTAATCACCTCAAGTGTGCCAAGACTATATAATACTCCCCCCACCCAAATAAAGCGATGAGTATATTCGAGCAACTTAATATGCTAGAGTTAACAGAATAAAGTATTAATTGAAAAATTCAGTCGGGTACTGATGCATATGGCAGTTGGATTCTGAATAACAAATAGCGTTCATGGGGTTAAACAAATTAATAGTAAAGCATGTTTAAATAGTGATGGAAGTACTAGTACTTGCCAAGAAGCTAGCTCTGCACATTAATAGGAAAATTCATTAACGTTTCTACAGCCTTTGGGGGACTTCCTGCCAACTGAAAGCCCCTGAGGGTAATAATTGTGTTGAAGTCTATAAATATGTAGGATCTAATATAAATGATACATTGAAGAATATTTGTTCATTAGTTTGTGGCTGAGGTGTACGTATATTAAATTTAATTAATATTTTAGAAAATGAATCAAAAATATCTCTCGTTTTGATCAGGAAATTACTGCTTTTTTGGCAAAATTGAAATATTTGACTTTTTTAATTTTTTTTTTAAATGGCAGAAGAATAACAGCAGAGATTATACCAGAGCCCTTTTTTTTTCCTTGCATTACTTGCAACAGGAGTATTATTGTATAATGTTTAACAATATTGAGGGAGAATTATTACTCAAGATTGGAGTGTTTGACTCATAAGTTTTAAAATAATAGCTGGCCTGATGGCAAAGCAACCTGGGTAGAATAACTACCTTAGCAAAAGGTAATGGAGTTATAGTATGTGGTCACACACAGCATAAGGACAGGAGGAGAAGGTGTACCCAGTGTATAAGAATAGGAGGTGAAGGTCCCTTTGGAATGCTGAGGCCACCGAGATGCACAACTGATGCTACAAATTAACCTAGCCAATTATCTATCATAATAGCTCAGTGACAAGCAGTACATGATGAGACTCCAATTCAGTAAATGAGTTTGTGACTGAGTTTCCCCACGTGGTTCACAAAGATCTCTCCAAGGACAGGCAACTATATTCACCAAGTCACTGAAAAGCTGCCACTCCATTCAACCTTTTTTTTTTCACAACAAAATCCAAACACCCATAGGTCCTTCGCCGGAATTTGCTCATTTTCCATCTAACACCAATTTGAAGCCTTGCTTTACCATTTGCACATATATACTGGAGCAGTTTCTAGCTATACACAATGGCATTGCATTGTTTAATGCTTTTCTTAAGACCAAATGAGGAGGGGGTGAATCTGCTCCCCTTTCTTTACCCACCACCTCCCCCCCCACTCAATTAGCCACAACAAAGATTCTGAATTCTTTTAGCACACAGCTATGTTGTACTTCAAATAAAATATTGTAGAGTCAATATTAAGGAGCCAATTACAAGTTTTTCTGATTTGAAATAAAGGAATTTTAATTACTTAATGACCCCAAAAATTAGTAAAATGTGACATCAAAATGCACAAAAACATAGGAATGAAGTTTAGAAAGCCGCACATATCTGCTGTAATAGGAGGACGAAGAATATGCGTTTTGAAAATGTGTTTGGAGTCCTTGAGTTTGTATAATTGAACTTGAAAATATTGCTGTTCCACTAATGTCTCATATCGTCAGCAGTTGTGAATTTTTGAGAATCCTTGTGTACTTAGTGTGGTAATTGTTCTGATTTTGTTTTATTGTCAGTACTAGTTTTCAAGATATGGAAACGGGGAGAGAAAGAGAGTCTTGCTGTCAAATCTATTTTCTTTCAAGATCTGTTGCTGTACTATACAGCTACAGAAATATGGTTCATTTGTGTATTCCTGAATCTGGCTCCATTGCTTTTGAAGCTGGATCGTTGCATGGACCTTTCATGTCCAATATATTCAATTTTCCTTATTAGTGCAAGTTAAAGGAGTGTGAGTTTCTTGACTCGGTTGACTGATTTCCATATCTTTAGGTATAATAGTAATTTCAGACCAGATGATTTTGTTCATTTGTGTTGCGTTCCTGAACTTGCTTCAACCTATGGCCAGTTAATTACTGCAGCCGTTCTAGGCCCTAGTTTTATAAATTATTAAAGAGAACCTAGTCCATGAAGGCTTTTGGTATTAAAATCAGATGATGAAAGTTGAAAATTTAATAATCCATATTATGACCCTATTGTGGCATTATTGCTTTCTGAGGTGGATGCATGAAGCTTTCATTCAGGGGAAATTAAACGTAGCTGTTTGAACAAGGAGGAATGATGAATGTCGAGCCTCATGGGTATGAGCGCAAACATTACTGCAGCTGCAATACAATCCCCTGATAGGTTGGTCCTAAAAAGGACTACAGCCAACATGGATTCCAGAGCCAGAATGTTAGGAGGGCTCAAAGGCTTGTATTGTGAGGAAATAACATAACTGAATTTAGACACGGAAAGGATTTGATAGAGTAGATCTTTTTCTGTTGATGGCTTTAGGACAAGAGAAATTAACTTTGTAGAAAAGCAGATCATGGGAGAGAAGTTAGTATACACTACTTAACGCACAGGATGGTAGAGCCCTCTATCAAAACATGATAATAACAGCTCCATTAATAATTGTACTTTTGATGTTGAAAAATATTTATGAACCAAACCAAATTTGATTTAATGGTGGAACAGGCTTAAGGAACCGAATGGCCTACCCCGATTCCTGTAATCCAGAACACAGACATAATGTAGTATATAAAGAAATTTGTACCATACAAATATGTGAATTTAGAGCCATTCATTCCCTCAAGCCTACTCTGCCATTTGATGGTGAATGTGTTGTATTCCTGATTCCCATTATCCCCTATAACCTTTTATTCTTCTGTCTGACAAGAATCTGCCCAGCACCCTGTTCCAATACAGAGAGCTCCAAACCCCACAGCCTTCTGAGAGAGCTCCTTATCTCTGTCCCAACTAGGTAACCCTTAATTTTTTTAAAAAGTGTTGCCCCCTCGTTCTGGATTCATCCACAGAAGACATTTCGTGTCCACTTTATCGAAAAACATTGAGGACCTTTTTATGCACTTCCATGAAGTCACCAGACCCTTGATTTCCATCTTTCCTCCCCTCATAAATCCTCTGCTTGACCTTGCACATCGCTATAAGTTAATGGCAAGGTTTCTGTTGAAGTGTGTAGCATTTAGTGCTTTTCTAGCTCCTGACTGTTGGAGTCTTCTTACTCGGTGAAGAAAGCAGATGGGATGTTGAACAAAATAAATATGTTTGGCCTTTTGGGTATTGCACTATCAACAATAAAACTATTGAGCACTTGAGCACTCAGTGCAAACGTGGTATTGTAAGATAAGCACCAGTTGACTTGTGAGCACCACCACCGCCCCCCCCCACCACCACACTCTGACCTTGATCACCACCTTCTATGTTGAATGTGATATGAATGAAGCCCAGTTATTCCTTGAAGGCCTCACCACTGCTAATGCTTCTGTGAAAATTCTACGTTTTAAAGATGAGAACAACGCAAGTTAGTTTGATTTGGAGGCAAAGCAGAGGCAGGGGTGAAGACTTATTTTGTTTTCCACATCTAAGTACAATAAATAGCTGAAATTCATCAGACCATTGACTGGGATCTGCTTGGCGCCGATCCTGGAGCATTCCCAAAAGTCATCCTAATATCTTTGGTACGTTTCCAATGGTGTTTCCATCTGTGCTGGGAATCCTATCAGATGGAGGGTTGGGGATGGGTAGTGGCAGTGACAGAATTAAAGAATCTGTAGACTTTCTGAAGGACAGGAGTTGGTGGCAGTTTCTCCAATCAACATTATTTTTTGTTTGAACATGGAAACCAACAGTTGCTTGGGGATACCTTTTATAGATGGGCCCGTCATTGAATTTAAGGTGCCAAAGATCCTGGACTGACCTGAGGAATACTGCACATTTGATGCATTGAGGGATCCTCCATTGGTGAAGCAGTAATGAGGGAAATACAACACATGCTGTTATTATACTTTTTCTTTAATTACACTTTCTTATTCTAGAGCAGTCAATTCCAGCAACAGCAGATGCCGCACAGTTGGCAACCAAAATGACTGAAGGCTCTTAAGGCCTCACCTTTTCCCCTCGTTCTATAGCCTCCTCAAAAGAATTAGAATAAATCTGGAGAATATTCCCTGTTATGTGTTTTGATTTCACTACATGCCACATTCAGAGGAAATCTTCCCTCAGGGTGCCTTAGCACATTAAAATTCATTTCTCTGTGTGAGCAGGACTTTTTTTCCCAACAATGATATATAACAAACACCGCTTAACAGCATTTTCATGTTTATCTTGTGCTGTTGCTTTACACTAGTATTTGTCTTGTTTCTTTCTCGGTTTACACCCAGGAGTTTAGCTTGCTGTCATCAACCCTCTGTTCCACGTTCTCCGTCACTATTGCCAAGCACTTTGCTTCACATTATCCTACTCCTCCATTTGCTGAATAGACAAGCATTTCCTTGACATAATTGGAAGAACAGGTTTCTGGTACAGTACTTGAAACATATACACCTCTGTGTAATGCTGATTTAAGGCTCATTACTTGCAATAATACTTCCACATTTCTCGACTGTGTCAGAATTAGTTGGTTTTTGTTTGGTCAATCATACGTGTGAAATTGTATCGTGCAAAATCACTCGTCTGCTGCTTTGGTGATAGAAAATTCTAAAAGCTGAAGATTTGCTGAATGCGCTCGTGACTCTGAATCAGAAGACCATGGGTTCAAACCTCTACTTTCTTCCTCTCTATTCACTCAACCCCACTCTGGAGCCTTGACCTAGTAATTTGAACCAACAATCTATCAAGTTGCTGTGGTGCTGTAATTTGGATTAGACGGAGGCTCCATTTACCCTCTTGGGATTGTAACAGATTATGTGGAAGGTCTCTTTGTGTCCTGCCCAATACATATCCCATCAGTGAAACAAATTATCTAATCACCTACCTTAGTACCATTTTGTGGGATCTTGCTGTGCAAACATTTGTTGCCACCTTTCCTACAAAGCAAACAAAATACTTGACTATAGCCAGCATTGCAATGAAGTGGTTTGGGAAGTCCCAAAGTGTTAAGTTATTGCATAAAACACAAGTTTATTCTGTTAGAAGTTTGTCTTTTATAATTGAAATATGTACTGGCAATGGAAAGTCTTCTGTCTGTGTAATTTTATGGTGTGTGCCATCATCAAACAAGTCCATTAGCTTCCATTATTCACTCAGGCTCTAAAGGGCCAGACTCAGTCTTGCTCAATGGGAATTCCAATTAGAGACTAAGAATTGTCATTGTGTATAACTTGATTTTGTGGCTTCACTGAAGTTGCCCCTCAAGTCGCCATTCCTCAGTTGATAGATGCACCACCCATCATGCTACTGGATTATCAGGACCAGCAAGGTCCCTGGTTTGTGCCAAGTTACTTCACCCCAGTGATTCAAGTGTTAGGAATGGTCTCAGTCCCCTTGCACTGGATCCACTGTAGTCAGTGCTCCCAGCACAAATTATTAATTGTTGGAAAGTGTGTTGCAATGAGGTTAGGGTCTAGCTGTGCTCCTGAGGGCCATATTGCCATCATTCACGAGCTTGGTCCAAGCATGATATTGCTGTATGAAACTCCTCATTTAAATGAGAGACTGGATGGACAGCCCTTGTGTTATATGGATATATACAGTGAAACTCCATGAGTAACGTCATTTAGCAGAGGATTATAAGAGAGTTTCATTTTGTATATAACAAAGGACTGGATTAGTTCCAACAGAAATATTTAGTTTCTGATTTTAGAGTGAGAAACTAACCAACTTGCAGAAAAGGTTTACAAATGACTAATTGGGATTGATCACAAGGCAATAATTTAATTCTCATCTTGTTGTTAGAGAGCAGGAACTACTTGTTGGTGACCTAAACTCAGAATAAGTTTGCAACCATTCTGGCCAAATATACATTATTTTAGTTTCCTACAGAGAGTTTGAACAACACTGATAAGCGGCTTTTAATTCCAGTTGGTGTATGTGTGTATTTTGTCATTCATGCTGGCAGACAAAGGCTAAGAAGTCCCATTCTGCAATATTGTCAATAATATAATGCATTTCCTGAATTTTGCAGCATGCACTTAATAGACAGCACACAGCTCCACACCACCTTTAACTATGGATTAAATTTGCTTTAACCCACTTTGTACAATATGAAGGGAACATTTCCTTCACCAAAAATTACTAAAATTGATTCTTCCTGTAGGCTGCTGAATGACCTGGCTCTTGACTTTCTACTTCACTCTGAAAAAAATCTTTAGGATGCATAAATGCACCATTTGCCAATCTGTACTTACGCCTTTTGCAATACTCTCCTGCTTTCCTGAGTTCAAACATTATTGTCTTACTCCATATATTTTAATTTGTTTCCATAATGTCTTCCTTGAGTCTCCCTGCCCCACACTGTCCCTCTCCCGAAACCCAAGCCAACATTTATTTTTCAATCACGGTTAATTGTATTCCTCAGCTCTACTTTCTACATCTCCATCCCACATTATCTACAAATGTAACTACTTTCTATTGTATCTGGTTACTTAACATTCCTTAACACAGACTGAAAGGGACAGAGGCTCTTGTGATAGTGTGACTGCCTCTGAGCCAGTAGGCCCAGTTTTTAAATCTCAGCTGCTCCAGAACTATGTAATAACACCTCTAAACAGGTTGGTTAGAATTTTTTTTCGGTTGAAGGGGCTCCATGGTGTTACCACAATTACAGCTATAACACACATTTGCATGATTTCACAAAATATTGTGAGCTTAGGAAACTGTCTTGTTCTTTTTTTTTTAAATTTTTGTTTCAAATTCATTCACAGGATATCATTTGCTCCGAGCTTACTGACCAGACAAAATGTCTAGTACAGGTTGCGGGAAGGAGGGGCAGGTAAAGGGCTTAATTCTAACAGCATCATGATACAATCTCTGCCCCATACTCTGATCCTGGCAAATAATGATAAGCTGTCTTGATTGAAATACATGAGAGCTAGCACTGAGATATGAAGGAGAGAATTGGAAAAGATAAAAAGATCTTTGTATGGATTAAGTAAAAGTTACAGTTAAATGTCCTGATGTTGTGTAGAGGCAAGGGAGCTCCCAATAATTGATCTCCTACACTGTAAGATCTAGAGAGGGGAACAAAATGACCTCTTGCCTTTCTTTAGCCCCCCCACCATAATGTTCACAACTATTTATTTATGTTTAATTTGCATTCTAAATGTAATCCCTTCAAAAATATTTAATATATTGAATTAAATAAAGCTTCAATTTTAAAAAAATAACCATATGAAGTAGTATTTCAAACTTCCAGCTTTTGGAAAATATCATAGTTGAACAAGCTGAACCTCTTTGCACATTTACAGACTGCATTCAAAAATATTGTTTGGTTGTTGCATTTTATCAAGTTAATGAATAGTGAGATATCTTGAACCTGTTGGATTGAGGCGAGATTGAATATATAGATTATTGAACACGTGTCTGCATAAATGTTGCTTCAGTAGCATTTCATCAATATTGTGTGGATTGAACAATGTTTTCTGAATTAAATGCTTTCTGAATTAAATGTAATCATTGTAACATCAGCAAGTGATCCTTTGGAGATGGACTGAGCACATCAGAACCTAGACAATCATTCAGTACAAATGTGTGCACAAATATAGGTAGTCACCAAAATTTCAGTCAGGCATTCAGCAGAAACCTCTTTACTCATTGTGATTTGAATATGGATCTTGTGAAATACATCTATGGTAAACACACCAAAGACAAAGCAGTAGGTTATGTTGAAAGGATTTGTTGCAAGCAGATGAGAGTGGGTTTATTTGTAGCATTGACATTTGTAGCAGTACAGATCTGTTGGGCTGAATGGTCTGTTTTTGTGCTGTATATTCTGTGAAATTGAGTAATTTTATTTATTCACTGCTACAATATTTGGCCTTAAACCCTATACCAAAAATAAGTTGTGGTTGCAACAGGACCTAAACTATTATAAAATTTAAACTAAAAAGCTCCTTGTTTACAAAAGAGAAAGGTAGTTTTGATTTTAAAAAGACAATCCCTTGCTATTTGCTTCCATTTTATGTAGTCAGAAAGACTGGGCTGGAGCAAATTTAGAGACCTGTTTAGATTGAGGAGGGATTAGGTTCGTAATTTGCCTGAAATTAATATCAGTGAAATGCTACTCATTCAACACTTGAGGATCACAGAACATTGTGCTGCTTTCGATATTAAATCTAATCTGTTTAACATTATTACAAATGGGAATTCTGGCAGTACGTTTCAACATCATCAGTAAACAGCTATCTAAACAACAGAGCCTGCTATCAAGGGTCACCTGGGTTGCTTCGTAATTATGCATGGTTTTGCTGGATTTGGTAGAGTAGGCATAAGAGCTTCTGAAGGTTGAATTGATATGGTCAAAAGCACTGCAATTTGCTTAAAAGCCTCCAGTTAAGAATATTTTTGTACATACTTGAATTGTCTAGGTATTAGACACAATTTTTTTATATCAAGTTGAAGCCCACATCTAACAGATACTGACAAAAGTCTTGACTCTGAAGTCACTCTCGAGGTATAATAGAAATGTTCAGATTGTGTGCCAATAGCTTTCCTTTCCATTTAAAGAATTTCTATATCGAGTTGCCCTGTATATTCACTATCACTTTGTGTTTTTTTTTTATATTCCCTCTTTATCTCTTCAGGTTTTGCGTTGGAGATAAATTTTTCCTCAAGAACAATATGATTCTGTGCCAGACAGACTATGAGGAAGGTTTGATGAAAGAAGGCTACACATCCCAGGTTCGCTGATCCCACAGCCACATGTGTCAAATTAGTTTTAAGCACTAACTTCTGTATTGTTTACTCAACATGTAAATATGAATTGAAACAGGAACTAATAGAATAGACCTACAGTACCCTGAGCTGGTGGCCATGTTTGGAATAAAGGTGGGAAGATAAACCGTATATAGTCATTTTGTTCCTGTTCTAAATTGAATGTCTTCTAGACCTATTGTATATATTGAGCTTTGTCATGAGGGAAAACTATTCCCCTTCTTTGTTTGCTGCTTACAGTTTATAACTTTGTTTGTGTCATTTGGCATGAGATGTTCATTTTGGATGACTCTTGTACATACTATATTGTAATATTTGAAGCACAAATGTAATACAGTTTTATTGTGTTATCATTTGTGTTCATTCCTTTGTTTCTTGGTTGTTGCATTTAGTACAATCAGTGTTCAGATTTATTGTATAATTAATTATGCTTTCTGTATTCTATTAACTATTTTAACTGAGCTGTAACTTTCTATTAAAATAATCAAACCGCAGTTCTATGCACTTTAATTTGTTTGCTAATACAATGTGTTAAAAATCTGGAGACGTAGAAGTAGCCAAATATATAATCTCCTCACACTAGAGTTGACATTACAAATTACAATTAACTTTGCCAGCAACTCTGATGCAAATGCTTTGTCTACCAGATGAGAAATCGGTTTTGTTCAATAAACAATTTTACACCAAATTTTTGTGCAACATGTTGTGGAACATGAACTTGCTTTTCCCAACCCCCCAAGCTGCCAACTTTGGAACGGGAATTAGTTTCATTTTCCTGTTCTCTGTATATTATTTGAAGTGTCACCAAGGCTACACAAATCTAGATCTAAAGAGCATTCATTTCTGATAAGTTGCCGAATTAAGAAATAGTTTTGCCTCCAAAGGGTTTGAAGAAAGGAAGCTTGTTTTCGTGTATTTTTTTTTTGAGACTCTTTTGATGTACCACAGTAATGACTAGCAGCTGAGTGACTGACTGTTATCTGCAATTTGGCAGCCTTTAACAGGCACTTAAATGGCTCTGAAGCATTAGTCAACTTTATTCTGCTTTCATGATAACTGGGTTCTTGAATATAACTGCAAGAGTGTGCTTTTTAAGAAGGAACAATTCACACAAAACAAATTAACCTGTAGAAACAACTCAACATGGATGGAGGCGATTAATGTATCTTTGCAAAGAAGTCTAATTATACCAGTTTCAAAAGGAAGTAAACATCTGTGCAGCTGAACCATATTCACTAAAACATCCGGGGGGTGGTATATTTAAAAAAGACCCTTTGGTATTGGTTGTGTATTTAAATAATTAGATTTTGGTTATTTCATTTAATTTGACTCTTTCCACATTTAGTAATGGGAAGGGACCACCTAGCAACTAAAATTATGAATACTGTTGGAATTCAAATTTGTTTCATGCAACTTTAAGAACCCTGTATATTCTACAGGATAGCAACAATATGGGGTGATTGATATAATGGTATTTTCAGAGAAAATTTGTCTGAATTTTCAAAGAATACTGTTTTTGTACATCTAACAATGTAAGTGTTCCCATTTTTTCTGTGGTGAAAGCCATTTTACTTTATGTATAAAATAGCTGTTAGAATTCTGTGTTGCATTGTTTGAAAAGATCAGTTTTACAAAATGAAAACATTACTGCATCTTTTGTGTGGGACAGATCTCATTGAAGATGTGGGTAGGGGCAGGAGCTATGTGTTACCGTATTCAAATTGTAGAAATATTCATATTTACTCCTTAAGCTGCTAAATGGAACATTTCCCTGCCGTGACATGGGGGAAAATCTTAAGTGAACTATATCCATCCATTATCTTGCAAACTTCTTTTGAAATGTATTCAGTTGTTGGGGAAATGAAATGTGCTGCTGTATTTGGGGTGAACGTGTCTGCTCCTATGATGCTGCTTGGCCTGCTGTGTTCATCCAGCCCTGCACCTTGTTGTCTCGGATTCTCCAGCATCTGCAGTTCCTACTATCTCAGACCAGATGATAGGTCCGGTCAATGATGGAGAACAATTGCTCTGTGGCAGCCAACTAATGGAATGGGAGTCATATGAAATAGGAGTAGGCTATTCAGCCTTAGCACCACTATTCATTAACACCATCGCTCACCATCATCTACCTCAACACCCCTTCCAATGCTTCCTATATCCCTTGATTTGCTTGGTGTATAAAATCTTTTCTTAAATATGCTCAACAACTGGGTATCCATAGCTTTCTAAGGTAATGTTCCAAATTATGCCAACCCTCCAAAGGAAATTTCTCCTCCTGTCAGTTCTAATACGCTAGCCTCTTATTCTGATGGACCCCAGCAAGGAAACATTAACCCAACAGTTATCCTGACCAACCCCCTTTGATTAAAAGAATCAAAATTTCAATGAGATCACCTCTTATTTTTCTGAGATCCAGGGAATACAAGTCTAGTGTACACAAATATTCATTTACAGGACAAAAATCATCCAAGAATTCATCTCGTGAGCCTTCATTGCACCTCCTGTAGCAGGTATTTCCATCTTTTTGTGAGATGATTAAAACAGTACAAAGAGTTCCAGGTGTACCCTCACCAAGACCCTATGTTATTGCAGTAAGATTTCTTTTGTCTCTAATGCAAAGTAATTGGAATATAACACTCGCCTTCCTAATTATTTGCTGTATGTGCATGTTAATTTCCTGTGATTCATAAACAAGGATATAGAGATCCCTTAGAATACCAGTGTTTCCTACTTGTTTACCTTTTTCACCAAAGTGGATAACTTCACATTTTCCATCTGTTATGCTTGTGATCACTTACTTAATCTGTCGCTATCTCTTTGTGTCCTCCTTTTATAAAATTAGGTAGGAAAGTGAACTGTATCATCCGTAAACTGGAGTACATTACATTCGGTTCCTTTTGGCTTTGTCATTCCTTTAGAATATTAAAATCAGACGCCCAAGCACCTTGTTGTATTATTGTTGCAAGCTACAAACCTGAAAATGTTATTCTTACTTTCTGGTATTTTTCTGTTGATCAGTCCTAAATACATGTTAACATCTTACCCCCACCATCCCATGAATCTCAATTTTGTTTCATAATAGTGTTACCTGTCAACTTAAAAATACCAAAATAAGTTCTTATTTTAATACCGTTATCATGCCTTTAGGTTTTGTTTTTCTCTGTCACCATAGTCACTAATGGCCAGTTGCCTTGTGCTGTTTTGCCCTTTCTGCTCAAGGCTGCTTATTTTTGTCCAAATCTATACTCTGCTTTATGACTTTGACATTTTGTTCCTTTTTAACTGTACCAGTCTCAGCCTGGTTTAAGTGGAGCCTGTCCTAATGGAACAGGTCCCTCTTATACTAGTAACAGAGCTCCAGGAATTGAAACTGTCGCACTCCACTCCTGCAATCCTGTGCCAATTTACGTGTGATAACAAATCTAAAATTATTACCTGTGAGAGATCCTGTGTTCCAATATTCAACCTAGTTCCTCAAGCTTGCTTAGTAGAACCTTGTTCCATGCTGTATGTGCTATTTATCCTTGCACGTGCAATAATGACTGGAAGCCACCCCCATACCACTTCAAGTGCAAGGAACTGTCATTAATGCTACCACCAGCCAAGCAACACAACAGTTTGAACTGCCAGATGCAACTACAGAGAGCATTATCCCTATGTCTGAGAAGGCATTGCTGCCTATTCTGGGTCAGGAATGAATTGAATTCAGTTTTGGTATTCCCCTTCCTGCTGCTGTTCACCAATTTGTTGTAATTTACTTTCTGCACTCTTGGCTAAATAACCTTAAATAGATTTGGAAAAACATCCCAAAGTCAATGAAAAATTACATTTAGCCCTCTGATCCAGCACCCCCATGGCTGATCCCAACATTCCTCTAGTCCCCTTTTCTGTATTTTCCCATGACCATGCATCATATACAGCCGACTGGTCCCAAAAAGCCTGATATGCCAGTGACTTCTCACTTTTTAGGCTTAATGCTTGGGCATAATTAATACAGAGGGATTCTGGTTGCATTTGATCTCTATCTCAACACAAGATCTTCCGTTCAAGCGCACCAGAAGGGATAACAGAGGAAGGCAGAAATGATATGTCTTACAGTTACACCTCTGAGCTTCATTGTACACAAGTCCAACTATTACAACTTGCATTCATACAGTGTCTTTGTCATGATTAATCATCCTGAAGCACATTGCATCAGGTTCACAATTGAACATCTAGTTGCAGCAGCAGATGTTAAGGTCAAAGAGAGTTTTCAGGAGCATTGTAAAGGAAGACAGTGTATTGGTGATGTAGAGACTGGAGGTAAAGAAAACTAGAGCTTAAGGCACAGCCATCAATGTTGGAACAAAAAACTGGGGGACTGCAGAGAAATTAGAGTTGAGGAAGGTTATGGAGTTAGCCTGCTTTAGGATTGGCTACTGACACAAACACAAATGGAAGGGGGCAAGGGGTACAGAAGCAATTGTCAAACATTGATATCCTTCACATAAGCAGGCAAACTTAACTCTCTTAACTAACATTACTATTTCCTCCATTTTTTGTAAATCTTGTATCAGGCGGCCCTGGCTTTTTCAGTATTCTGCTTTTTGTTTAAATGCCTTTGCAAAGTACGAATTACAAGTTTCAAGGCCACAAACACAAACCTGCTGTTTCAGCTCAACATGGGTTATTCTGCCACTTGATGTGGTACGTTTCCCAAGTATGTTCTGTTTGTGAAGAGACCACATGTTTAGGGGCAAGCCACAGAAAATCATGCACATTAAACAGGGTAGTTGGTGGCTGAGGCTCCCCTACAGCAACACAAAGAAATCGCCCTTATTTGTATAGTTCTGAATACCTGCTCTAAATACTAAAAATTATTGTGGATCATAGAGACATTGAGAAAAGTGACATCTAAGTCCTTCACTGAAATTGTCTGACTGTTACTATCATCCTCAAAGATTTATCTTATTTAAATCTCTTTAATCTAGAGAACTCCTAATAGCCCTCCGTTACCCTTGTTCCAATATCCTGATTACCTGTTGTTGGAATTTAGTTAAAAGTTGCACTCAATGCAGGCATTTCCATTTTATGATTATCAAGAGCTGCATCTGTGTGGGTATCTTGTACCCAATGCTCATTAATTCAATAGTATGAAACAAAGAAAAGCACCAATTAATTAGTGAGTCATGCAGCCTCAGATTACTTTGATCAGACTATAGCAGCTCTGATCTGAATGAAACACGCTCACTGCAATCACTGCTCAGTACCACCCTTTCAATTGAATAAGTCCTTCTTCATACCTGGGCCGGAGGCTGACTGTGTGATTAGATATTTAGATGAGAGAGAAAAAAAATTGTGATTTGCAAAATATAAAGAAAGATTTTGTAGAGTTGATCTGGCTGTGTTCAGCGCTACTGAATAAAGATTGCTGGAAGCTAGCTCCAGAGCTGTTCCAAGGAATCAAATAACCATAATGATTAATGAAAATAATCCATTTCAGTTATATTACCTTAACTTTCATTTTGCATTTTATAATATAGATTCTTTTGTTGGTTAAAGGAATCCACAGTTAGGGAGCTACAGCACTGCAGAAAAGTGAAACTGAGATTCACATGAACATGCTCTAATTGGTTAGCAGAGCAGGTTTGAAGGACTGAATGGCCTGTTCTTGTTCCAATGTAGGCGCAAACCAATATATTATTTAATTCAATGTTATTCCATTTACAACGAATATCAATTTATGTTACCCAGATAAGTAGTATTATTAGGCATGGTCAAGTAAGCATAGCTTAAGGTAATGTTAGCTGTAATCACTTCCATTGTTCTTTTCCTTGTCTAGAGTTTAAACCAACTGTATTTTTTCAAAGATTAA